TGAGAACAGGTTTTTTGTGTGTGTGAGACAAAGTCTTGCTCTGTAACCCAGGCTGGAGTCCAGTGGTGCAACCTCCAGTGTACGGTTTGGCCTCCCAGTTCAAGCAATTCTCTTGCCTCAGGCTCCCAAGTAGCTGGGGCTACAGGTGCCCACTATCACACTAATTTTTATATCTTTAGTAGAGATGGGGTTTCACCATGTTGGCTAGGCTGGTCTCGAACTCCTGACCTCTACTGATCCATGAGAACAGGTTTTTTTGTACTTTTATTTTTTTAGATGGAGTCTTGCCCTATTGCCCAGGCTGGAGTGCAGTGGCATAATCTCGGCTCACTGCAGCCTCCACTTCCTAGGTTCAAGAGATTCTCCTGCCTCTGCCTCCCAAGTAGCTGGGATTATACAGGTGTGTGCCACCACCCCCAGCTAGTTTTTGTATTTTCAGTAGAGACAGGATTTTGCCATGTTGGCCAGGCTAGCCTCAAATTCCTGACCTGAGGCAATCCATCTGCCTCAGCTTCCCAAAGTTCTGGGATTACAGGTGTAAGCCACCAAGCCTGGCTGTTGTACTTTTAGAGTCCAGGGTAAGCAGGAGGAAAAGCCCAAGGGGCTCCAAGCTATAGTCCAGAGGCTGTGGGACATGGCTCCCCACATCTCTAGGGTGGGTACCCAGAACCAGCTGAGTTTTTCCTCAGCCCTTTGCTCAGGGCCCCCGATGTGCTGGAGTAAGACTAGATTCCTCAGTCTAATGGCCTGGCTCATCTTGCCAGGCCCTGCTTCTTGCTCAGCTGCCTTGAGTCCATACTGGGACATGCTGCTTTTTCCACCCAGGGACTCTCATCTCAACCCTCTAATCCACTGTTCTCTTCAGGGTTTGAATCAGGAGGCTACACAGAGATAGACAGTTCACTTGTGGGCGAGGGTCCCTGGTCATTCCCAGCAGCCAGCACCAGGCCAGGCTCTGCAGGACTTCACATGGTTCTGAAGTGCTGTTGGGTGATCAAAGTACAGTGAGGAGTGTGTGGGCAGAGGAGGAGGGTTTTATTCTGGACATGGGTGGCAGGGCCGTCAGTCCCCCAGCAAGATAGAGGCCTCACGCACATGCTGCCGGACCACTCGGTCCAAGAGGGTGTGCACATCTCGAGCAGCCTGGGCAGCAGCCTCCAACACCCGCTCCAGGTGGTCCTCATGCAGCCGGGCATCCATCTCAAGCAGTGCAATCTGGCCTGAGGCTGGCAACAGGGCCAGGGCCAGCTGGGGGCCACCAGCTGCTTCCTCCACATGGCTGAGGTCCGCCAGGGCTGTGCCGTCCACAAAGCCAGCTGAGCACGCACACACAAAGTCTCTCATGGGTATCCCAGCATCCAGCACTGCCAGCGTGGCTGCATTCACACACGCTGCGTAAGTCCCACCATCTGCCTGTAGCACCTGCGAGGACCCCAGGGTGTTCATCAGACTCCCTCCTCAATCCCATCACACCCTTCCCTCCCTGGATTGCAGGCTGCAGCTGGCTCACCTGCACATAGATATCAATCTGCGAGCGTGGGTGCAGCTGTGTGAGGATGGCTGCTTCGAAAGTCTGGCGGAGTTGCAAGCCCATCTCACAGGACTTGCGGTCCCCATGTGGCCGTCGCTTGCGCTCACCGGTGCTGAAGGTCGCTGAACTATATTGACAGTTCACTAGGGCCCTGTCTGGCAGGGCTCGAGCCCGCGAGCCCCGGATCTGGAAGAAGATGGACACATGAGCCAGGCCCACTCCTTCCAGCTCACACTCCACTGTTCTCTGGGGGTCTGCCTCTCCTTTCACTTAGTGCCTCAGCAAGAGGCAACTACTTTACCTCCAAAACAAAGCCCTTTGTTTTGCACGTTTTTCCTCCTGGTATGCATCTTTTAATTGGCTGCCTTGTGTCCATCCTTGTCCCATTCCCTTCCAAACCAAGTTTACAAACATCAAGGCTGATTCTACCTCACACACTCAAATCCTCATTAACTTACGAAGGCTTCACATTACACATGAAACAAAATCCCAAATTCTTGCCCTGTTCTACAAAATCCCAAGTCCTCACCTCCCTGGAAACTCTCTACCTTAATTTGGAGTTATCTCCTCTTTCCCCACCAGCAGTCTTTCTGCTCTAAGTGCTATGCTTGTTTTCACCCCGGTGGTCTTCGCCCTCCTGGTTCCCTCCGCCTAGAAAGCAGAGCTCTCACACTCATACGCTAAGCACATTTTCAATACCTTCGCTGGCCAGGCACTGTCACAGCGCGGGACAGCAAGGAAACCATAGGGTTTCATGTAAAGTTCCTGTCTTTAGGAAGCTTATGTTAGCTGGGCATGGTGGCGTGTGCCTGTAATCCCAGCTACTCAGGAGGCTGAGGCAGGAGAATTGCCTGAACCCAGGAGG